AACCCACTAGTTTTACTAGCATAAAAAACCAATTCAAGAAGGCAAGGGTGTTTGGGCAAGGGATAAGGAGATCATGAAGATGTCACTTTCCACGCATCGAGTTGGAAGTCCAGGAAGTATATCTTGGTTGAGGTGTTCAACATTTACAAACTCCTGATAGGACCCTAGTACTGTGGATAAGGCTGGAGATGAGTTTCTCAAAGTCAACATTATCCAAGTGACAGCTGAAATCACAGAAGTGGGTAGATCTCCAGGGAATTAGGGAGTGAGGTGAGAGGAAGACAGATGGCAGAATCTTGGGAAATGTCTGAATTCTTCCTTATGATAGACTGGGCGTAGTCAGTGTTATAGAATATAATCAGGAGAGTGCTGCATCACTGTGTCTAAAGGGAGAGGGGATATTGAAAGGGAGGAGTTGGCTAATCACAGTTTAAAAATTGCATTACTGTTTTGGGGATTAGCTGCTTAGAGGTGGTGCCTACATAGTCTAGAAGGGAATGGCTCTAAGAAAATAGCTGGCTGGGCTCGGTGGCTCACTCCTGTAATCCCAGCATTTTGGGAAGTCAAGGCAGGTGGATCACTTGAGCCCAGGAGTTCGAGACCAGCCTGGGCAACAAGGGGCAACCCCATCTCTACAAAAAATGCAAAATTAGCCAGGTATGGTGGCACACACCTGTAGTCCCAGCTACTTGGGAGGTTGAGGTCGGAGAATTACTTGAGCCTGGGAGGTGGAAGTTGCAGTGAGCCAAGATCACGCTACTGCACTCCAGCCTGGGCGACAGAGCAAGACCCTGCCTTAAAAGGAAAGAAAATACTTAACAGCATTTGTGAAGAGGGAACCGTGTGTGTGTGTGTGTGTGTGTGTGTGTCTGTGTGCGCGCGTGCACACGCACACTAACAAGTGAATGAAGAAGAAAACCGGACCCATACCTGGTCCTGTTTTATGACAGCCAAGATTCCAAACCCTCATCTCCCCTTATTATTGACTATTGGTAATGTATACTTCTCTCTGTTACTGGCAATGTGTATTCAGAACCAAAGGCCTCGTTCTGTCTTTTAGAAACCTCAGATTTGTGCCAGCATTTGTTTTTTAGACAGAGGAAACCTATTACTTCTTCTCCTCAATTGTTACCCAATTTTGAGTTACCACTTATCCGGGGACTTGGGTTTGATTCTTGATGTTATGAATTCTAATGATAGTAAATATGTAGATCACCTCTGGGAGCTTAGTGTTCAAAGCTATAGAACCTGGAGGAGAAAGGAGGGGAGAAGGCAGGCAGGGGAGTGAGACTTTAGCTTTCTTGTTCACACATAAAGGGCTGTTTGCAAACTACAGTGTTAACTAAGACTTCATCAGCCAAGGATTTATATTCACATTAAAATCTGAGTTGGCTCCAGGGAGATATCACTGGTGTAAGTTCAAGTAGGATTAACTGCCTCCCAGCAATGCAAATTGGTTTACAACTTTTTTGTTTTGTTCTTTCTTATTTTTTGGGATATTTTCTTCAATATTTTTCTTAAATGATAATTTGCAAAAACCATGAAATATTATTTATGGTTCCACAAATGTCAGAACACCAAAGAAAATCCCTCTTCAGGAATCCAGATCCATTAATGAAGTTAAAAATTAGGAGAGTTGAGTTTTAATCTCAATCTCCTAAGTAGCCATGCTTAGGTAGGTTGCTTAATAAAATTCTATGCTTAATTTTTTTTTAAATTTTCTAAATGGTGATTTAAAAATCCTGGTTCTACTTATCTCACAGAATTATTGTTCAGGTTGCGAAAGGATTTTCTTTCTTTCTTTTCTTTTTCTTTTTTTTTGAGACAGGGTCTCATGCTGTTGCCCCGGCTGGAGTGTAGTGGTGCCATTATGGTTCACTAGAGTCTCAAACTCCTGGCCTCAAGTGATTCTCCTGCCTCAGCCTCCTGAGTAGCTGGGACTACAGGTGTTTTCCACTAGGCCCAGCTAATTTTTTTTCTATTTTTTTGTAGAGATGAGGGTCTCACTATGTTGTCCAGGCTGGTCACAAACTCTTGGGGCTCAAGTGGTCCTCCTGCCTCAGCCTCCAAAAGCACTAGGATTATAGGTGTCAGCCACTGTGCCTGGCCTGTGAAAGTATTCTATTTTTAAGTCATGAACATTAGATAAATTTCAGACATACTACTACTTAGGCAATTAGATAATAACCTGCTGCTAGTCTAGGGTCAGGATAGAGAGGTGAAGCAGGGACCAATATCTGGAGGGTTTGGATTTAAAAAGTAAGATTATTCATGATGGATTAAACACTCAAATGTAAAACCCCAAACCATAAAAACCCGAGAAGAAAATCTAGGCAATACCATTCAGGACATAGGCATAGGCAAAGACTTCATGACTAAAACACCAAAAGCAATTGCAACAAAAGCCAAAATTGACAAATGGGATCTAATTAAACCAAAGAGCTTCTGCATAGCAAAAGAAACTATCATCAGAGTGAACAGGCAACCTACAGAATGGGAGAAAGTTTTTGCAATCTACCCATCTGACAAAGGGCCAATATCCAGAATCTACAAGGAACTTACATTTACAAGAAAAAAAAAAAACCCATCAAAAAGTGGGCGAAGGATATGAACAGACACTTCTCAAAAGAAGACATTTATGCAGCCAATAAACATGAAAAAAAGCTCATCATCATTGGTCATTAGAGAAATGCAAATCAAAACCACAATTGAGATACCATCTCACGCCAGTGAGAATGGTGATTATTAAAAAGTCAGGAAACAACAGATTCTGCCAAGGCTATGGAGAAATAGGAACGGTTTTACACTGTTGGTGGGACTGTAAATTAGTTCAACCATTGTGGAAGACAGTCTGGCAATTCCTCAAGGATCTAGACCCAGAGATACCATTTGACTCAGCAATCCCATTACTGGGTATATACCTAAAGGATTATAAATCATTCTACTATAAAGACACATGCAAACATCTGTTTATTACAGTGCTATTTACAATAGCAAAGACTTGGAACCAACCCAAATGCCCACTGATGATAGACTGGATAAAGAAAATGTGGCACATATACACCATGGAATACTATGCAGCCATAAAAAGGAATGAGTTCATGTCCTTTGCAGGGACGTGGATGAAGCTAGAAGCCATCATTCTCAGCAAAGTAACACGACAGAAAACCAAACTCTGTATGTTCTCACTCATAAGTGGGAGTTGAACAATGAGAACACATGGACACAGGAAGGGTAATATCACATACTGGGTCCTGTCGGGGGATGGGGGAAAGGGGAGGAAGAGCATCAGGACAAATACCTAACGAATGCAGGGCTTAAAACCTAGATGATAGGTTGATGGCTGCAGCAAACCACCATGGCACATGTATACCTATGTAACAAATCTGCATGTTCTGCACATGTATCCCAGAACTTACAGTTAAAAAAGCAGGATTACTGGGGGTTGGCAGAGGCCTTTTCTTGAGCTCAGGAATGAATGATGCCATGGAAAGAGCAAATGTGGAAATAAATTCTGGAAATGTTTCGCATACCACTTGTAATGCTGTTTTTAAGATAATTGCTTGGGTAAATAAATTCCTTATAAATTGACTAGTAAAGAGATACTCAACTTTGTACATTTGATGCCATTTTCACTTGCTTTCTAACTTATGTTACCATGGCATTAATTTAGTATAAATAAAAATGCTGTAGGTCTGCTCAGTGCTGAGCCCGGCAATCTCCTGACTTCAACATCTCTTATCCACTAAAGCACACACTATTGTTTACACATGGAAGACTGACTATGCAGCCAATCTAGTAAGCAAGCAAGCAGGGTCCTAGATATTAAAAATGACCATTCCAGTAAACCATCAAGCCACAGATCAACAAGCTTAATCACAAAAGGTTCTTGAGGGAACAAAGTTGAAGTAATATCCATCGAGTCATTGTGGAACTATCTGTACTTGTGGTTGATTTGCCAGGTAAGCTGGTTTTTCCTCAGTTTCCTCACCTGTTAAACAAGAGGCAGAATGAGGTTATCTCTAAAACATTTCTTGCTTTGAAATACTATTACTCTAAATAAGAGTTCGAAGAAACTCACAAAATACATCCTTGTTAACTCTCAGTAAGCCCAAACAATATGCCAGGACATCACAAAACCAGAAAATTAACAGGACCCCTTGTAGATCAGTCTCTTTGTGCAAAGTTGGGGGGGGGGGGATAAAAAACTTCCCAAAAAGTATTAAAAATAGCAACATGTAATTACGAAAAATCTTGTTCCACATTAGGTAGCCACATATAAGAAACACTGTTGGAGATTTACTATGTGCAAGGCACGGTTTAAGTTATTATTGTTCAAGTTTGAAATTATTGTTAACTTGTCAGTAATTTCTTAAACCTAAACTGGTGAATCTCGCCTTGGGTGGACATAAAAGTAAAGCCACGGCCAAGGACGGGGACAGTCTACAAATAAACCAAAAATAAAATACAAGTGACATCATTAAAGGAAAAAAGCCAACACATTGCACAAAGATCAGAGACACAACAAAACGGAGAAACATGTTTCGTTAATACTGGGCTTTTGAGCATTTCATGTGCCTGCGAGGCCCGTCCATCCATCCACACCACACTTCTTCACCATGCTGTTGTAAACCAATGACAAGTCCAGCTTCAGCGCGGACAGGGCGCAGGGTGCAGACCCTGTGCATATCCCAGAATCCCGGACCCACTGCCACTCCACTCTGGGAAGGAAGGCGGCGTTCCCCCTTGGGTGACTGTAAGATAAAGCAGCTTCTTCCATCTCTTCGTCCAATAAGAAAGAAACGTTGGCCCATAAAGAAAGAAAGAAACAAATAAATAGGAAAGGTGTGAGAAGGAAGGGAAGCTCCTTTCTTTTCTGTTTAAATTTCCCGCACCCCTTTACCTCCCCGCCTTCTCAAACGGTCTTTACTTTGCAGAGACCGAGACCGCTCAATACCCTGCTCTCCCCGGGAGGGTATTTGGAAAGTAGGCGGGACAGGCCGGATGAATAATTCGGTGTCCGACTTTTCCTGCCTTTGGCGCAGTCCCTCCCCCGCTGCGTTACTCGAGTGCACACGCGGCCGGGCTCTCGGCGCTCGATTGCTTCAGCCTATCACCCTGGGATGCCGCCTGCCGCCGCCACCGCCACCGCCACCGCCGCGGCTGCCGGGCTTGTGGGATCCGCCGCGGAGCCGGAGCCAGAGCTGCGGCCGGAGCTGTGGCCTGAGAGTTAGGGGGCTGGCCGGCTCATTCCAGAAGTGGGGGCCGAGGACAGGCGGGCTAGAACCCGGAGCCACCGCCCCCCTATCCCTCCTCAGGCTGAGGGAACTGGCACTCGGAGCTTCTGAGGCGGCGGCGGCGGCGGCGGGAGCCGGTCAGAGGGGGCGGCCCCTGGCGGCGACGCCCCCAAGCCCAACCCTGCCCGGCCCCGCTCCATCCCCAGCCAGAGCTTGGTCTGACCGCGAGAGACGCCAGCGGGGCTGAAGAAGGCGGCTCCGAGGAGGTGGGAGGGCGAGCCTCCCCTCCCGGGTTCTTCTGCGTCCTCTCCCGGGAAGGACCCACACACACCTGAGCCCGGACCCACCCTTGGTCGGGGCCACGCTGGATCCTCCTACCGGCCTGGGTCCCGCCCGCCGGCTGCAGGTGGGCTGCAGCGCCCGAGCCTTGGGCAGTGGGCAACCGGGAAGGAGGTGAGAGGTGTCCGCTTCGGCTGCCGCTCGGGTCCCTGCCCTCGCGGCGCGCTCTCCTCCTCCTCCCCTTCCCGCAGGCAGGACGCGGAGCCGCGCGCCCGCCCGCCCCGAAGCCGCCGCCTCGTCCCCCCCCCCCCCGCCCCGGGGCACCATGGAGCTCTCTCCGTCGTCCGGAGGAGCCGCGGAGGCGCTGTCCTGGCCGGAGATGTTCCCGGCGTTGGAGTCCGACTCGCCGCTGCCCCCGGAGGAACTGGACGCGGTTGTCCCAGTCAGTGGAGCCGTGGCCGGTGGCATGTTGGATCGGATCCTTCTGGAGTCCGTGTGCCAGCAACAGAGCTGGGTCCGGGTGTACGGTAAGGATCACAGGCAGTCTTACAGACTGGTGTTTCCTATTTTTGCTTGGGCTGAAATTCATTCCCTAAGTCTCAGGCTCATTCCCAGTCATCATCCGTGCTAGGTCAGTTTCCCACATCCCTTTTGTTCTGGGGGTGCATTTCTGACAAGTTTCTTCAGACTGACACTTGGGCAGGGATGTGACTCAGTATGGTCTTTGGACCTCTTCAGACACCTGCAGTAAGTTTAATGCGGGAGTTGGGCTATCCAAGACGTAATGCTTAGGCGATTACTCCAGCGGAACTGCCAGGCAATCAGTCTTCAAGAAGGTGTGATGGAAAACTCCTTGAAACCAAGTGAATGGGTTTTCGTCTCTTTTTCTTGTTGAATGAGGCAAGACTGGAAGCCAAGATATTATGAAAAAGCAGAGAATAAGCTAATGAATGAAAAAAAATCCAAACTATGTATTTGATGGGAGCAGACTAATCTATAACCTCTGCCTGAACCTCACTCTCTCTAAAAGCAACCACTTATTCCAACGGGTGTGGATTGTTTCAGATTACACTATTGTTTCTGAACCTCGTTGTAAAGTGACTGGGTTGCCACTCAGCAGGTTAAAAGTGATGAACACACTAAAACTTTCCCTTTCTGCATTCCTGGTAACCACCTCTTTAATTAAAACTGAATGATGAGATTCTATTAGTGTGAGCCTTGTGGCAGCACTAAAACCATGCTGGTTTTGAAAACTCATAGCTTAAGGATTTATAGCCTGGCATTCAGGACTGAGCTGTGGCTTTCCAAAATATTGAAACGGCAAGATGTTTATCGCCTAGCCCACGTGACTACAAAAGACATCAGTAATGTGGCTAAGATGGCAAATTTGAAGCACCTGGGATCAAACACAATGTTAAGATGTTATCGTGCAGTCGTGTGCATCTAAGCCTTTAGTGATCAAGTACCTTATGTTTTTTTCTTTCATCTTTCTGAACAGAGTATATGCTTACTGTTCAAGAGTGACCAAGACTTGGAAGGTTTCTTTCTGTATAGTTCAGTTGATTTCAAGACTTCATGTCCATCACTGTTAGAAAGATCATAGAACTAGGAGTCCAGAGATCTAAGTTCTTGCCTCAGTTCTACCACTAAATGGCTGTGTGATTTGCGGCAGATCGAGTCACATTTTTGGCTTGTGATTCCTCATCTGTAAAGTGAGCGGATTGGATTAAATCATCACTAGTGGCCCTTTTAATCATAAAAATCGAGCAATTCTTCTTATAACTAGGTCTTAAGGATTTATTTCTGTACTACTCTGTATTTTGCTGGTTGTTTCTTGATGTTACTCTACTTACCGGAAGACTTAAAGCAAAGGAGTGGAAGACGATGCAAGGTCACCCAGTTTGTTCTCAGCAAATTATATTACAAACTTTGGTGCCCGATTTTCGGTCTGCCTGCTAATCCCACTTAGCTGGTCATTTATAACAAAGGTTGATGAGAATCTGAAAGTGCATATGAATTAGAGTATATTGTAGTTACAACGTTTTCTCATTCTATCATCTTCCTCTCCTTACGCAGTTGTTTGGCATACTGTTTTTTTGTGTGATGTTAGAAATAGGGCCATGCTACTCTAAGAATACGTTTATATGATAATTCGGTATTTCAGTATCCAAAACTATCTGGGTTCTCTGGACCTAGTGTTAACTATCGTTCTTCGTTTGTAAGGACATAAACGTCTATAAACGTATGTTGTTTTGTAGTTCATTCCTAGGGTTTGATTTGTGAAATATATATTGTATATTGTGTGTGTGTGTGTGAGAGAGAGAGACAGAGAGCAAGTTTACATTATGTTTTTTTCTTTCGTCCTTGTGAACAGGATATATGTTTGTTATTCAAGAGTGACCACGACTTAGAAGTTTTCTTTCTGCATAGTTCAGTTGATTTCAAGACATCATATCAGACATCACACACACACATACATACCATGCCTTGCATTTCTGTGACCTAATACAGACTTTCCACTGCATTGTAACTTTTTTTGTTTTCTCAATTAAACAGAAGTTGTTTTTATTTATTGTTTAGTGTTGCTACTTTCCTTCCTTTGAGGCAGCGCATCCTGGATACTATTTTGTTGTCTTTAGTTTGATGTAAATATTTCAGAACTATTGGATGACTCTTGGCTATGTCCTTAGCTAGTTTTAAGTTGCTTATTGTATGAACAGGGTGTATGTTTGAAAACTTTGAAGTAAAAACTTTGAAATAAAAATAATAGAATGTAGAAAAACAATTTGGAGAATACACTAGTTTTGTTTTTCTTGTTTCTTGTCTGTGTGTTCAAAACCTTCATTGTCTTGGATCATCTAGGTTCTCACAATTTAAAGAGACTTTGATGAGTGTAGTCTAACATGTTTTAGGGAAATCTACAAATTGGGAACCTAGTCTAGAGGATACAACTAGAAACCTAGAGTATATAACTGGGCATGGAGAACCTGGTTTCATTCTGGCTTTGCCACAGATTGGTTGTCTAACTCTGGGCAAGTAGTTTTAACTCATAATCTCTAGGTTTCAGCATAAAAGTGGAATCTGGAGTAATTGGTGTCTGTGGTTCCTTTTAGTTTTAAAGTTGTCTGATTCTGTGGCTTGGCCCTTTATTTTACCTACAGGTTGGCCTATAATCTTTATCCCGGCTCTTGGGGCCAGGCATTAACCAAGCCCTTAACTTATGTATTTAAATCATGATTGTCAGGAGATTCTGGGGAGCAGTTTTATCAAAAGGTCAGTGAACTGAGTTTTCAAAGAAGATATATTGAAGGCAGATGTTTATTTATTTGGAATGTTTTCACAAGATAGGAAGTAAGTATGGGGATGTTGCTTAGGTCTAGCTCATCTAGTTTTGAGACCTAACCTACATAGCCATGTGGGTTCTAAAGATAGGGTAATAATTAGGAGCTTTATTAAGTGCAGTTTACATCTCCTGCAGTATACTTCTGTTTCAAATCATGATGGGAACAAACAACAACAGAAGTAACCCCCCAAAGAACATCTTAACAGGAACCTTTAGAAACAATATTTTATTAGTTTGCCTCACAAAATTTGAAGACTAGGGACTATTTTGAGTTTGTTGTTGATAGGTTTGGCTCCTTGGTTGATAATACATATATATTGTGTACATATGTATATATTGTCATAATACATATACTCAGGGTTTTTTGTATTGCCATGATTTGGAAAACTTTTCTGGAATATGTTCAGAGCTTTATAATAGGTGGATCTATATTTAGAACACAAACTAATGCACATTTTTGAGACGTGGCTGAGAGAAAAATATTTATGCTGTCTGTCCTAATCTTCATTTTCTTTTAGTTGTAAAATGTTTCATTTGTTGTATTCCAGTATTTTAAATTGTGCCCATGCCTTGTCAAGACTATACAATTTTTGACATCAGGAAGCCTTGTTTATCTTTGTATTCCTATCTTGCAACCCCTTCATTGTCAACTTGTCTGCCAGATTGGTACCTTGCTCATAGTAAGTCAATGTCTGTTGAATGTTGATCCATTTGTCCTTTGACCATCCAGATCTCAACCTGACAGATTGTATGGGTGGTAGAGTAGCTTAAACAAAGGCATGCCACAAACAGCTAAATATGGATACAGAATCCAAGAGCATCAAATGCAGAACATTTTTCAGATATTTATAGCCTCAAAGCAAAGTCAATTGGCTGAAAAAGCTCAGCAGCATAGCGAAAGGAAACGGGAGTGGCGAAGCCAGCCTCACTGTCTGTGCTTTCTGGTAAACAATGAGAACATTAAAATTAAATACTTTACCATGAATGGGTGGGGAGTGTAGGACACTCTGGGAGAAATTTAAGATCCCAATCTCTAGGACTCCCTGCAGTGGAGCTCTGCACTCATCAGTGTAACAGATCTGCAAGTATGTGTTCAGATATGCTCTTGGAGAGTTAGAAGGGAAATATAATCAGCACAAGAAAGGGATCAACAAGAAATCTTGTACTTTTACATTTTAATATTATCAGAAGGAATTAGGTAAAATATTCTGTTAAGAAAATGAATAGCATCAACATTATTAGCATTAAGCGTGTATGCAGCTCATTGTTTATTGATAACAACGTAGGGACCTGCTGGAAAATTTCAAAGGGCTAGTACTATTTAAGCAAACAGAAGAAAAAGGGAATTAGTCATACTTCATTAAGTACCTTTTAATTCCAGAAATGTGGTAGTGGGAATTTGGTAAGAATTAATAAAAGTTCATATTCATGAAGTGAATATGAGCTGATGAGACAGAAGTCTTATCTGGTTGTATTATGTGATACTGCTTATGCCTCACCAATTAAGACACAGGATGAGATTTTTAAAAGTTACATTTCTGGAGGGTATGTCTCTAAATTTATTTAAAATGTTGCAACTAGTATTGCTAGAAGAAAATCAGTGAATGTGTATAAAATACATCCCCAAACATGTTCATGTTACTTAAATGTTTTAATTTCTTCAGGTACTATTAATTGAATCTTTATACCTGAGTAGTCATATTTTAGAAATGTTTGGAATCTTAAGCTTGAGTTCAATATTTAGGATGTGGCATGGGCTTGTTGATGTTATTAGTTTCCAGTGATTTCCACATACCTTAAAACACATTAAGAGTAGACAGTTTTTCATTGAAATCAGAAAGAACTTCTAAGAATGCCTAGGCATGTACTGTTTAAGTGACTTTAAATGGCTCCCTTTTTTCTTCTTTTGAGAGAAAATTTGTATGTCTTATGTAAATTGTGTACTCTATTAATGTAGATGATAGTTTCATTTATAACATCTTAATATTGTTCTACCCTCTATCATGTTGGTTTATTGCTATTTGATTTTCAAACAGTGAAAATATTTTTGAGGAATAGAATTATACATCCACAATCTCTTTTCCACAACCATTTGGACTAGACAGTTAGTTAACATTTCTGCAGGTAAACAAATGAATAGGCCGGGCGTGGTGGCTCATGCCTGTAATCCCAGCACTTTGGGAG